CTTTGAGTATCCTGATTGGATAGAAAGGCATTATATAAATACAGCCCATTTACCATTTACCATTCAGGCATCTGGAAATTGCACCCAAGAATGAATCAATCTTGTGCAGGTCCACAGTTCTCTTCCTGACATATTGGCTGATTTTATTTCCACTTTATCATGATGTTACACAAAGAGACAGTGTGTTTCAGGTGGGCCTTAAATTACGTCCACAGGTGTGTCTCTAATTAATTCAGATGTTATCAATAAACCTATCAGAAGCTTCCAAAGACATGACATGGAACATCTCAAATTGTTTAAAGGCATAATAAGCTTTGTGTATTTAAACTTTTGACTTTAAAGAAAGTAATAACAATTGCCTTAAAAATATCTCTCATTATTCTGGCATTTAGCAAATAGAAACAATTTTGGTAATCCTAATTGACCTAAAATGGAAAAAGTTTATTCTGATTTCACATTAAACAATGTGAAAAAAATGCATGTCTTTTTATATGGTGTATGTAAACTAACTTCTGGTTTCAACTGTACTGTATATGTTGTTTGTCTAGTGAATGGCTATGTACCAGTTGGGTGGAGGACAGCAAAGTTTGTCTTTCTGGCTAAACCTAGCAAATCAACATATAAAGAAGCAAAATATTTCAGACCCATCAGCTTAACATCTTGCTGAAGGGAATGGAGAGGTATATAGACCAACGTACAGTATAAGGCATGGTATTTTAATACCATCACCTTTAAGTCCTAAACATCATGCATATCAGGCAGATCTACAGACACACTGTGCTGAGCTCCAAGGAAACCCATCCCGCTGCAGTATATGTCACTGCATGGATTTCTTCCTGCCAGAGTCTACAATGGGGGGAAAAATAAAGAAAAAATCCGAGACCCATCACACAATGTTATTTGTCCACAAATCTGTCCCGGTAAAAACTCCACAGTTTTTATCATACTGATATCTCCATCCATGACTTTTTGGCCTTTTACTCATCTTTATAAATGTCTGTTTCCATGCAGCCTTTTTCAATCAAGTGAAACTTCTGACCAATCACACAATAAGTTCTTATGTGGAGTTGGGGTAAAAAGTTCAGCCAGCGGGTTGTGAGAAGAAGGAGCCAAAGAATTGATGCTGCAAACAAAATGAAGCAGTTTTCGTCATGAAACTGCGACAAACTGATCTGAATTCAGCAGTTCGACTGCAGCATACTGGGTGCTTAACTCATCTCCAAGGTTGGAGGGAGTAGAAATCTCCTTGTCAGAGTCAGACAGGAAACTTAACTGGAAAAGACATGTGAATGAAAAGTGTAAGAAGGCAGAAATGTGCCTACACCAGGATTGCAGGTAGTCGGGGTTCTACCCCAAAGGTTATCAGAAGTATCTACACGGCCATAGTCCATCCCATGCTATGCTATGCTGCTGGTTCGAGTTCAAGTTGGGGTGGCAAGAGTGATGCTCACCCATGTGCAACAAATGGCCTGCCTGAGCAACACAGGTTCCATCAAAACAACACCCACAACAGCCATGGAAGTCCTACTGGACCTGACTCCACTACAATTACATATCTTAGGGGAGGCTGCATCCAGCACGGWAAGGTTACACCAGTCTGGTAGGTGGAAAAGCCTATCTGACTCACAGCACACTAGAATCTGGGACTGGGCAGTTGCTGCTGTTCCAGTAACTGAAACAGTAACCTGRAGACAGAATGGTCAAAAAATACAACTTTGAGCCGAGTTTTAAGACAGAGATTGAAGACAGGTCTGTCTGGAGTAACCTCTCTATGGTGACAATGTCTCCCAACTGTTTCTRCTGTTAYAGATGRATCCCTTATGAAGGGGTCAGGAGGTGCAGGAGTGCTGATTTTGCACAACCATAGATTGGCTTGGGAGTGTGCCGAAGCAGTCAACTAACTGGGGAGAGACCACTGTGTTACTACTGTTCAATGGGTACCAGGACATTCTGGCATTAATGGTAATGAGAGAGCTGACTACCTTGCAAAGGCAGTCAGGTCCACTTCAAAGGACCAGAGCCYSTTGTAGGTACCTCAACAACAGTCTGTAGGACTGCCCTACAGGCCTGGATTAGAGGTCAGCACTCAATCTCCTGGAGGGAGCTGATGGACTGTAGGCAGGCACAGGAACAGATTAATGGCCTAAATCTTAGGTTTGGTAAAGCTSTCTTTGCCCTGACAAGGAAAACTTTAAGCACACTGGTTGAAGTCCTAACTGGGCACAATGAGCTCAACAACTACAAAATGGTGATGGGACTCCATGACAGTGGYCTGTGTGATGCCTGTGCCATTGAAGTAGAGACCTGTTTGCACTACTCAGGCCACTGCCTGGCTCTGAGAAATCAAAGGAAAATAATTATTTGGGACCTCTATGGATCAATTATTTGGGACCTCTATGGATCCTGAGAAGCTCAGAACACTATGAGTGTTTCTAAACTTGTCCTTCATCCGAGTAAAGTAATCAAAGTAATGAAAAGCAGTTTTCTTTCTTAGGGTTTAATTGTTTAAACCTGTAAAAATCACAAACTAAAATAGAGGTTAAAAGTTATAAAGGGGATTACTGAGCCTGAGACAGTCATGTCTGTATAGACTGAATATCTGCAGATCATTATCACCTGATTAGGAAGTCTGCCARTATTTTTCTGTTTTCATTTGCTTATTAGCTCTTAAGACAAGTCAATGAGATGTTTCTCCTTTAAGTTTTAATTTATGTAAGAAATACATCAGAAAAGGAGAAAGTGAGAGCAGAGAGAATACTTTTCCAGTTTTTAACCTTCAGTCCATTTGAAGATGTTGCTCGTCATCTTTTCTTGTCAAATGCCTGTTTTTTCATGAGTGTCAGTGTCCATCATGAAGCAGGAAGCTGACAGTTTAAATGGCTGAAAAAAAAACGTTTAATGGCAGTAAACCAAGAGAAGTGTTACTGTTTGACAATGACTGGGACATAAGTGGCGGTGCATTCTTATTGATTAGACTGATGTTATGTAGCAGACAGAGCTTTGCTTGTAACATGATGAGGGCTGTACGCTTCTGTATTACTGAAACAACTATAAATCAATTGTTACATCCTAGATTGAGGAAGAGCAAAAACTGGGTGGTCTAAWCATTTTGAGAATAGACAAATATTTTATATATTCCAGTTCTGTGCAGTTTGGTGACAACATATTGTTTTGTTTTCAGTATTAGCTTACTGATTTATTTATTTTTTATTTTTTGTGAAATATTTTATACAGAAATCATCCTTAAAGTTACTGTAAATTAATAATTATCTGCACCCTGTGCTGTGCTTTCCACAAGTTTAACCCACATAAACATGCACTCGTCTTAGGTTATAGAGCAGGGGTGCCCAAACATTTTCCCCAAGAGGGCCAAAATGAAAATCTATCCGGGGCTGCGGGCCAAATGCAGTAATATAATACTTGAAATACAAATACTTTTTAAGTAAAAGTCCTTTATTTTTAACCATTAAACTTGCAGCCAGTTAGGGCTGCCACAAACGATTATTT